GCTTGCTGCTCAGTGCCTCTGCACGGCCTGGTGCCTTGATGCAATGCCTCAAGCATCTAGCGCATCCAACAAAAGCCTTCAACACTTTGCAAAAAGGGATTGCAATCAGAAGGATCATCCTTCTTTTCGTCACTGGCTCCTGGCTAGCAAGTGCCATGCCTAGGATCAAGGAGCCAATTGCTCTGATACCATATTAGCAGCAGAGAGACACGCACGAGGAGGAAGGACTTTCTCTCTATGTATTCAATTGTATATAGATGGTACATATACATGGAATTACTGTAATGTGAGCATAATTACATTCTCTAAACAGCATCTTGTTGTGGGCAAAGTGCCATGTTGTGTGGATGGAGTAATAGGAGCTCTAGCACTCTTCACAAGAACATCCATGAAATGAACAAGGAGTGAACCCTATGCCAACCTTCCAACCTTTAAAAGTGTTATGGCACAGGTCAAGGAATATTGTTAGAATATTTCTTGGTCTGTGTTATTCTCCCCTCCTTCATGACCTAGCCATGAATGGCAGCTTCAAGAAGTAAACAAGCCTCATATGAAGGGAGTCCAAGGCAATATAGTTATGGAGAAAAGGTGTGTAAATAACAACACTAATGTCGTGACAAATAGCCACGAAAGAAAGAAAGCAATATAGTTTTTTCACATGATAATACAGTTATGAAAACAAGAGAATAAGAATAGCAAACAACTCAAAATATATAACAATATGAATATAAAACTTAATTTTCCCCTTCTATAAGAATGTCATCTAAATCATAACCAAAACTCAGAAACACTCTTTTTATGTCATCCTTAATTTCCTATATAACTTCATCCATGGATTCCACTAAATTAAAAACTCCCAAACTGTCTTATGACATGTTTTTACCAATCTTTTAACAAGAATATTGGCTGGACCAGCCTTCTTAGGATTAATGTCTGAGATTTGGATGATGGATTGATCCATGACATTACTAGAGTGTAAACATGCTTTAAGCTTGCTCACATGGAATGTTAGATGAATCTTTGAACTAGTTGGGAAGTCTAAAATGTAACCAATATTTGTAAAATTGTGTAAAGCCCACAATACTACCACCTTTTTTCAGATACCATTGTGCACTTGATAGCTAAAAAAGCTTATCACCAACTTTGTACTCCTAATGATGATAATGCTTATCAGCTAATCTTTGTCTCAATGTTGAACTTGTCTCATGTTCAGTTTTGCTAACTCAAGCTTGTCTTGCATATCCTCTAAAAAATTACAAGCATAAGGTACTTGAACCAAAGCTAAACTCAAACTTATGAGAGACCTCATCCAAGAATAAGTGGGATAGCATTTTGATGGACTTTATCGTTAGTTTGCTTAAGATCTTTCGAGAAAATGATGTTATTTAGGTTGTTGTGGATCATTTGACAAAGATGGCTCACTTTTTCAAAATGAAATTGATGATTAAAGCTTCTAAACTTGCTTAGTTTTTGTAGACTGGTTATTCAGTCTTTGTGGTTTGCCATGTGATATTATGAGTGATCAAGATCCCAAATTTATGTCCAAGTTTTGGCAAACAATCTTTGAGAAGCTAGGAATTAAGTTAAGCATAAATAGTGGTGAGCATCTACAATCAGATGGATAGACAGAATGCATGAATCAAATGTTAGAAGATATGCTAAAGTCTTTTATAGGAAACTTGACTTGACAAGGAGTATAGGAGAAGTATTTGCCTTTACTTCAATTTGCTCACAATAACACTTATTAATTAGATATTGGTATGTCTCTATTTATGGTGATGTCTAGCTATGGGCTTACACATAAAGAATGATAGAGATATTCAACTTTGATTACCTAGCAAGTTAAACAACCATGTGTGTACTTCTCAATATCTGATTTCATCCTAGGCTAAAAGAAATGCTTCCTCACCAACATATACATTTTTAATACCCTTGGATACCCAGCACATGGATGGTCCAAACTTGAGTTGAACTAAATTTAGCTCAAGTTAATGCTAGTCAACATAGTCAACCATAAATGTTATAAAGAAATGTCAATAAATATTATTCTTTGATGAACTTGAAATTCATGAATTTAATTGTCAATGATTCAGAGAACTTTCTATTTTTTTAATCTATTTATGGAGAAAACTTTTAATTTTTAATGCAACCTATACAATAAAATACTGATTGAGTAGGTTTTAGAATTAGAAGTTCATCTAAACCCACAGAGTTGTTATTTTTTGCATTTATAATATTTTGGTTATAATCAGCTGTTTTGGTCCCAAATAAAAATGGGAATATTGAAGTTTGCATGAAACTAAAATTTCTATTGTATATTTTGACATTTGACA